AACTCTTCCTGAGCCTCCCAGCATCTTGATAAATCCTATCACTTACATAACAGTTTAGAAGTGCGATGGACTACAATTTTATCAGAATGTAATTACGCAAAGAAGTGCTTAAAATTCAGGAATTCCAGAAACATTTCTAGGCTTTATGTTTCATTGAGTATTAGAACAGAGAAATCAAGAAGACAGGATAGTTTGATTCTGTTACTATCTTTTTTAAAAAAAGAAATGGTATTGATCAACTTTTTCTTCAGCATTACTATGCAAGAGGTAGAACAGTACTTTTTCTTTTTTTTTTTTTGAGACAGGATCTTGCTCTGTTGCTTAGGCTAGAGTGCAGTGTTGTCATCATAGTTCACTGCAATCTGAAACTCCTGAGGTCAAGCGATTCTCCTGCCTCAGCCTCCCAAATATCTGGGACTACAGGCGCATGCCACCACGCCTGGCTAATTGTTTTAAAAATTTTTTGTAAAGACGGGGTTGGTGTGTTGCTCAAGGTGGTCTCAAACTCCTGGTCTTGAGGATCCTCCTGGCTTGTCCTCCCCCAGTGCTAGGATTACAGGAGTGAGCCACTGCACCTGGGCTAGTGTAGTACTCTTGTGAAAAAGATAATGATTCTAATTTTATGAAGATTTGATAGGGAAAGAGATATGACAGAGAAAAGAAATTAGTATGTTTGGTTCACTATTATTTATATCAAAGGCATTTTAACAATATAATCAAAGCCATTTGAGTCATTTGACTTTTTTCCATAACAAAAATGAATCAAAAACATCGTGTAGTCAAATTAGCAATAGATAAATGAGGTTAATGATTAGAAGGCAAATATGCTGTAAGGACAGACTATTTCATCTTTGTACTTTTAGAATAGGAGTCTATGGCTTGTTTGATAATTCCTCGTCTATTAATATTTGGAGCAAATTTTGAAATTAGTTTAAAATTTTTGGATGTGGACGTTATTTAGGTTTAAGTAAGTTGTTTGAGGTTGACTTTCATATCTTTTATTTTTTTTTACATGACGACTTCTTTTTAGCAGAGATGAAAATGGTAAAGAAGAAACAGGTTTGCATACTGTGACTTCTGGGATCACTTATAGGGTACCATGTCCTTGGCAAGAACACTCCTGGAACGGTTTCTTTCCACCAGGATCGCTCATCACATGCAGTGTCCACCACCCACTCACACAGGTGCTACTTCTACCATACAGGCGTGTACGTTCCACTCACCACCTAACCACTTGTCTGCAGCTGCCAATACTGCATTTCTCTGGTTCCTGTAGAAATCAATAACCCTGGAAGAAGAAAACAATGAAAAGGATGTACTCAACACATTGATTGCAGGAACAAAAAAGGCTCTGGAGTCCAGCCTGTAAGAATTTGTTTTTTATCTTGATTAAAATGTTGAATACTTGATAAGAGAACAGAGTATACGTGCTTGACTTATCACCTGGTGATGAAACTTTTTATTGCTGTCTTTCTTCATTTATTGTGGAATAATTCAAAAAGTGAAACTTGATAAAGGAAAGTCCATTTCCATGTAAAATATGGAACCTAGAAGTAGGGGATGTAGCAGGATCAATCTTCGTGCTTAGTTATCTCAAACAATGGTTATCACCTGCACGGTAGGAGAACCCTCAGGATCAAAGAAAACACCACTGATGTGATGAGTCACTGGTGTGGGAATGAGGATACCCCATCTCTCCTTGTTTCTGAACGGCCTAGGAGGTACCACATTTACATAACTAAAATAACTCATCACTTGCACCAATACACTCATTATGTAGGCAAATTATGTTTTCAGTCACCTGTGCTTGGGCCAAATCCTGTGTCATGTGTCCCTCATGGTTGATTATTAAATAAAATATTTATGTGTATGCATAGTTTACCCTCTCAATCAGTTAAATCGGGGAATGCTAAGCTGGCGGGAATTCTCGATTGCTCTGAGTGTGGGCGGACTGCTTTCAAGCCATCCCCGGGATGCTCCTGAAAAGACTTTGTAGGTGAAGAGCTAATAAAACGAGTAGACTTTTGACTTCTGATGGACTATTCCTCTTGTGTATCTTAGGGTTAGGAAGGAAGAATAAACAACCAACATTCTGGGTGATCTGTACTACATCCGCTGGGCTCCTATTTTGTTCGCAAATGTTTTAACGGATGACTCAATACCTGTGTACGTGAGCCAGGAAGCCCTCTTCTCCCCACTGGTGTAGAAGCTGTGATATCATAAGCTAAAAGAGATAAAATAAGAACAAATATCACAGTTCACCCCTTAGAAATGTGATATTTTTGCCAAATGTAAAAGCAAACCACTCTTGATAACATGTAAACCACCCTAAGAAGATGTAATAAGCTGAACCTAGCTTATACAGTGATTTATAATCAATGTTAATTAATAACAATGACAACAATAGTAAAAATAATAAATATTTGTATAATACTTGTTATGTGTCAGGCACTATCATAAGATACTAAGATATGTTAGCTAATTCATTCTTTATAAATTTCTACTTCACTAAGGAAGAAATCAAGGCATGAGGGATAACCTTCCCAAAGTCACACAGTTGGTCACAGAGCTTAGATTCAAAGTCAGACTATCTAGTTCCACATCTAGGCTATTAATTACAATACTATACTCCCTCTATAAACATAAAAAATATATGGTAGATATATAAAGTTATAGATTTAGAGATATTCTATCGAAAATAGATATTCTAGATGTTATAAATTGACGGTGAACTTCTATGTATAACAATAGAAAGAATACGGAAAAAAGCCCCAACTTGGTAAAATGTGGGGACATCTGCACTTTATGGAATGTATAATATCAAACAAGTGTCCTATTCTCTA